GCTTGTGGTTGAAACTAGAGAGTCTGTACATGACTAAGTCTCTAACCAACAAGCTGCATCTCAAGCAACGGTTGTTCAGCTTGAGGATGCAAGAAGGTACGCCTTTGAGGGAACATCTCGAACAGCTTAACTCTATTTTGCTGGATCTGCGTAATATAGATGTTCAAGTTGATGACGAGGATGCTGCCCTAATCCTACTGGTTTCTTTGCCGATTTCGTATGAGAATTTCGTTGATTCTTTTATTGCTGGTAAAGAAAGCGTGTCATTGGAGGATGTCAGGTCTGCTCTTCATACGAGAGAGATCAGACATAAGGCGTCTGGATCTGGTACAGGTGGTGAGGCATCAGGTTTGGTTGTTACATGTGGAAAGGGAAAGAAGAAATCTGGTAAAGGGAATTCGAACAAGAATTCCAAGGGTCCCGGTCCACAGCCAGGTGATGCTTGCCACAACTGTAAGGAAGTGGGGCATTGGAAGTACAATTGTCCCAAGAGAAGAGGGCAACAGAAGAAACAAGGTTCAGTTGCCGTGGCAGAAGTGGACAATCGTTCTGAAGACGATCTCGCCTTGGCTGTAGATGAGAAGGCACATCGTGGGGATGTGTGGTTTCTGGATACTGCAGCCTCATATCATATGTCTCCGAACAGGGATTGCTTCACAACCTACGAGCAGATAGATGGTGATAACGTGGTCATGGCTAATGGAGCTGTCTGCAAGGTTGTTGGAATCGGGTCCATAAAGGTTCGGACACATGATGGTTCGTTATGTACCGTGAATGATGTCAGACATGTTCCATGAATGAAAAAGAACCTGATCTCCTTGAGTCTACTCGACAGCAAGGGTTTCAGTTTCAAAGTAAAAGGTGGAGTTGTGTATGTCTGCAAAGGTTCAAGGAAGGTGCTGAAGGGCGTGAAGCGTGGGACCTTGTATGCATTACAAGGGTCTGTTTTGTCTGGTTCTGCTGCCGTTGCATCGTCTCAGGTTCATCAGGAAGATATGACCACTCTCTGGCACATGAGACTGGGCCATATGAGTGAACGGGGGATGCAAGTTCTGTCGAAGAGGGATCTTCTTTGCGGGCACAAGATGCAGAATTTGGAATTCTGCGAGCATTGTGTGTTTGGGAAGCTACATCGCAGCAAGTTTCCCAAGAAGGGTATCCACCGGACGAAGGGGATACTGGATTACCTCCACTCCGACTGTTGGGGTCCTTCACGAGTTGAATCCATTGGAGGCAGCAGGTATTTTCTGTCTATTATTGATGATTATTCGAGATTTACTTGGATTTTCATGATGAAGCAGAAAAGTGAGGCTTTCACGAAGTTCAAGCAGTGGAAGACATTGGTGGAGAATCAGACCGGAAAGAAGATCAAGAAGCTGCGAACGGACAATGGTCTGGAGTTCTGTAATTCTGAGTTTAACGAATTCTGCAAGGATGAATGGATTGCCCATCATCGGACTGTGAGAGATACACCCCAACAAAATGGCGTTGCAGAAAGAATGAACCAGCCATTATTGGAGAGAGCACGGTGCATGCTCTCTAATGTTGGACTAGAGAGAAGATTCTGGGCAGAAGGAGTGAACATGGCGTGCTTCCTGATCAACCGTGGACCTCACACAGGTATCGAGTTGAAGACTCCTTATGAGGTGTGGTTGGTAAGCCTACGGATTACTCTTCACTGAAAGTTTTTGGGTGTCCTGTTTATTATCATGTGGATGAGGGTAAACTGAACCCAAGGGCAAAGAAGGGTGTATTTGTGGGTTACGGAGATGGAGTTAAGGGATTTCGAGTCTGGTCACCTTCTGAGCATCGAGTTATACTCAGTAGAAATGTGATATTTGATGAGAAGTCTATGTTTAACCCCATGTTGAAGGTTACTGTTGTTGACGGTAGCAGGAATGTTGATAAGCAGGTGGAGCTGCAAACTCTCAATGAGAGTGAGTTTGAGCACCAAGGTGGAGAAGATCAACATGATGAGGATGTCTCTGCAGAGCCAGAAACTTCAGAGTCCAGTGCACGAGCTCAACGGTCTATTGCTTCCGGTAGACCAAAGAGAGCGACTGCAGGAGTACCTCCACAGAGGTATGCTTCGAGGACATGGTGGCGTATTCATTTCAGGTTGCTGAAGAAGTGGATGCAGGTGAGCCACAGTCCTATAGAGAAGCCATTTCGGGTGGCGAAGCTGATCAGTGGCTTGCCGCAATGGGAGATGAGATGGAATCCCATGACAGGAATCAGACTTGGGAGCTAGTCAAACGACCACAGGGAAGGAAGATTGTTACAAACAAGTGGATCTACAAGAAGAAGGACGGAATCACTTCTAAAGAGGGCATGAAATTTAAAGCTCGGGTGGTTGCACGAGGCTTCTCGTAGAGGGAAGGAGTTGACTACAATGAGATTTTCTTACCAGTGGTCAGACATACTTCGATCAGAGTGCTATTAGCAATAGTGGCACATTATGACTTGGAGCTCGAGCAGCTAGACGTGAAGACAGCTTTCCTACATGGAGAGTTGGAGGAATAAATTTACATGACTCAGCCAGAAGGATTCGAGGTCTCGGGAAAAGAAGACTATGTTTGTAAGCTGAAGAAGTCCTTGTATGGACTTAAGCAGTCTCCGAGGCAGTGGTACAAGAGATTTGACAGTTACATGCTTGAGCTAGGCTATAGCAGAAGTCCATATGATTGTTGTCACAACAAGGTGGAGGATGGTTCGATGATCTATCTTGTTCTGTATGTGGATGATATGCTCATAGCTGCAAGGTCAAAGTCTGATATCCAGAAGTTAAAGGGGCTTCTCAGTGCTGAGTTTGAGATGAAGGATTTGGGAGCTGCTCAGAAGATCTTGGGTATGGAGATTTACAGGGACAGGTCGAAGAAGAAGCTTTTCTTGTCACAGAAGAGCTACATCCAGAAGATACTGTCGAGGTTTGGCATGTCTTCAGCAAAGCCCTTAAATACTCCTAGTGCTTCAAATGTTCATCTATCCTCAGCTTATGCACTGCAGTCAGAGGCTGAGAAGGAGTACATGTCGAGAGTCCCATATGCTAGTGGAGTAGGTAGCTTGATTTACGCTATGGTATGCACTAGACCTGATCTTGCACATGCTGTTAGTGTTGTCAGCAGGTTTATGATACAACCTGGGAAGGAGCATTGGCAGGCTGTGAAGAGGATCTTCCGGTATCTTAAGGGTACACCTGATGTGGGGATTAGCTTCGGAAGTGATACATAGTGCTTGGTGTCTGGGTATTCTGACTCAGACTATGCTGGAGATGTTGACACGAGGAGATCGATGACCGGTTATGTATTCACTCTTGGGAGTTCTGTAGTGAGCTGGAAGGCAACTTTGCAGTCAGCGGTGACATTGTCTACTACTGAGGCAGAGTATATGGCATTGACAGAAGCTTCTAAGGAGGGAATATGGTTGAAGGGATTGGTTGGTGATCTTGGTCTACATCATGATCAGGCAGTGGTGTATTGCGACAGTTTGAGTGCAATATGCTTGGCCAAGGATCAAGTCCACCATGAGAGGACTAAGCACATCGATGTGAGGTATCATTTCTTGAGGACAGAGAAGAGGATTAAGGTGAAGAAGGTTGGCACCGCGGATAATCCTGCTGATATGTTCACGAAGCCGGTTCCACATGGCAAGTTCCAACACTCCTTGGACTTGCTGAATGTCTTGAGTGGGTGACTCCGCCCTACGGGGCATTGATGGCGGGAGAGAGATAGAAGGAGCAGAGTACATTAGAGATTTCAGAGGAAGAGGATTCAAGTCAAGGTGGAGATTTGTTGATATGACTTGAATCCGATTATCAGCCGCTACGACTGGTAATCGGGGGTCTCGCTGCCCGGTCAGCGAGTGGGGTCCAGGGGCAACGCCCACGATGTATGGGCTCAATGTTATTTGGGTTCGGGTTCTGGGCCTGGTCTGTAACCGTTTCCTTTTCCATATTGGATTAGGTTTAGACCCACATGGAGAAGTACTATAAATACTTCTCATACTCCTCTGTAATTTGTAATCTCCTTGATATAGTGAAACTGGCTCTCTCTCGCCCGTGGACGTAGCTAACACACATCGTGTTAGTGAACCATGTAAATCATGTGTTGTGTTTTCGATTCTCGCTTTCGTATTCTTGCTTTGTCGATTCCTGTGATTTCCCGATCCGTAGCAGCGCGTTTATAACAGTAGTAATCACCGTGGTTACTAAGGGTAAATTGGGTGTGGAAAAATAAATTATATTAATTAATTTTTTAATAAATTACATTTTAGGTAGTTACAAAAATCTATTAATTAAAATTCTCTCTTTCTCTCACTTCCGTAACTCCAGCCATATTTCCTTTCTATATTTTTCTCAATCTTTCTGAAAAAAAAAAAAAAAGAGATCAGAACCAATCCATTAGACAAACACTACCACTTTGAAAAACATCAATACCATTGCAGAAATAAATCTATACCATTACACGAAAACTACCATTGCAGAAATAAATCTATACCATTACACAAAAACTACCAATATAAACAATCAATACCATTGCAGAAATAAATCTATATCATTACACGAAAACTACCAATATAAACAATCTATACCATTGCATATAGTAACCAATACCACTGCACATTGAATCAATAAACAAAAAATTACTAGATCTAGATTTTTATGTCTATTATAGTTGTATATGGCTGCTATTGTCTGCCAAAATCATATCTTTGGTATGTACGTTGTGATGGTAGAGAGAGAGAGAGAGAGAGAGAGAGAGAGAGAGAGAGAGAGAGAGAGAGAGAGAGAGAGAGAGAGAGAGAGAGAGAGAGAGAGAGAGAGAGAGTACCGGCACAGAGGGGAGGAAGGCCGCTGCGGCGGCCGAGGGTGGCTGGGGCTGCTGCCGGCGGTGCGACGGGAGTGGTATGTGGAGGCGGCTGCGACGGGTTTGGCTGGAGGGAGGATATAACTAGGATTTAGGTAGATTATATAGAATAATCAGGTGTGGTCACTTTTTAATTTCCAAAATTACTCTAAAAGAATCTTGACCGTAAGATTAAAAAAAAAGAGAAAATAATTAATCAAATGGTATATAAAGAGGTTGCCACCGTGATTACTAAAAAATAAGTAATCACCCTAACCCATTCTCCTATACCTATGAACTATGATACCGATCAGCCACAAAAGTGCTGCCGTTTTAGCGACCCGTCAAATCTTCACGCAAGGGTTTAAGCGCCAAAATCCCTAATTCAAGAATCGTTCTTCAGTTTCCTCCTCACTGGCTTAGGACTCCCAGCTTTCTTCTCTCGTTCATCGACTCCACGAAGCCGCATTAGATTTTCCGTTATGGTTCTCAGAACCCGCTCAATTCTTGCTCCCGCCATTCGCAGATCAGTGTTGAACCCTAGATTGGTCCCCGAAATCAAGCACATTTCCAGCCTCAAGGTTATGTGGCGGAAGGACCCGATGCTAAGATGGAGCCATAGAGAGAGACGAGAGATACGAACTCTGCGCACGTGTCGTCAGAGAGGTGTTGAACGAACCGGGCCAAGCAATCCCGCTATCCTACCTAGAGACAAGGCGCGAGAGGTTGCACCATGGACAAGATCAAAACTTTTCTCCGTCGTAATCCACTGTTGTTCGATACTTTCTACAATCGAATCAAACCCAAGTCTGAGCCGGTTCTGTTCATTCGCCCCAGCCAATGGTTGATGAATTTTCTGGAAGAGGAGAAGATGATACAGCTTGACAATGAGGAGATGCTCGTTGCCAAACTGTGCAAGTTGTTGATGATGGCCAAGGACAAGGTAATTAACGCAGATAAATTGGTTCATGTGAAGAGGGAATTCGGTTTTCCTAATGATTTCATGGTTAGTTTGGTGCACAAGTATCTTAACTACTTTCGGCTGGTTGGGGTATCCTGGGGAAGGGCAATCGTTTCTAGAGCTAGTGGATTGGAACCCCGACTTTGCGAAATTGGTTATTGAACAGAGAGCTGATAGAGAATCTAGATTATCAGGGATTAGGGTTCGACCTAATTTCAATTACAAGCTTCCACCAGGTTTTTTCCTGATGAAAGAGATGAGGGAATGGGTTAGGGACTGGTTGGAACTCGAGTACGTATCGCACTATGTTGATGCTCCACACTTGGAGCAATCCTCACCCGAAATGGAGAAGAGAGCCGTTGGGGTTTTTCCATGAGCTGCTATCGCTTTCTCCATTCAAGAGGGTTCGGGTCGCAATTTTTGGAAAGTTTTGTGAAGAGTAGAGGTTTTCCAATGCATTTTCAAGTGTTGTCACCAGGCATTCTGGGATATTTTATATGTCAATGAAAGGGAGAACTAAGACTGCAATGCTCAGAAAAGCATACAGAGCAGTGAGTTGATTGACTGAGACCCATTGCTAGAAGTAAAAGATAAGTTTGTCGAATTGTTGGAGGTAGGCTGGCAGGAGAGAGCTGAGCAGTTACGACTGCAAAGGGAAATAGTCAAGAAGGATATCTCGAAATTGTGATAACGCAAAGCAAAGATTTAGATGTGGAAACAAGCAGCGACGAATCTAATACGGGGGAAGAAGCGGAGAAGCCAATTTCGAATTCGTGAAAACAGCTAGCTTGTTTTGGCAGGCTGCATTGTCATGAATTTGATTGCGTTTTAGTACTTTGACCTTCACCAGCTGAGCTTGCTGTTGCACCATGCTTGAAAATGGTAACTGTTTTGAAATTTGATTAGTTTACATTGTTGACAGAAGTGATGCCGTGCATTCGATATTGACCCAGTTGATCTTGCATACTTGTTTTGATTTCCTCTGGCGGTTATCTTCAGAATACTTTGATTTCCTCTGGCGCATATGACAGTGGGAATTAGGTCCATTCCTTAGTTTAAAGAGTATGCTGCGACCTAACACTCAGTTCATGTATTAAAGATGAGTGGCAGAAATAACTGCGGACGTCAACTACCAAAGAAGCAACACACTCTTTGGTTTGTTACTTCCCGTTTCTTGCTGCCAAATTGTTGTTTATATCTGCATGAACATAATATATAAATATATGGGATCCCATATATATATGAGGCTATTACTAAAATATCATCCGATACAATCAATTCTATATGTCTTCTCCATCTCAGTCTATGGTAAGCAAAATGCGAAGTGTGAAAACATTTGCTTTATTCTATTTTGCAGCCCTTCTCCTAGTCTTTGTTCATGTGGACAAGATAGATGCCCAGAGAAGCCGGCCTCCACTATGTTCTTCACAGTTTTCACTTGCAAACTATGCCTGTGGCAGTCTGCCATTCATGCAACTACCACCACCTTCCTCTCTTCCTCCTCCAACGCTCTCTTTAAAGTCGTCCTCTAATCCGCCTCCTCCGCCGACATCTCCAACGTCTTCTCCTTCCCCACCTGGTCAAGGTCGAGGAAGGCACAGGCATGGGCGGGGCCACCATCGCCACCATCGAATCTCCACACCTGCAGAGCAGAATTGTTGCAGGTGGCTGAACGAGTTGGATGCTGAATGTGTGTGTGAACTGTTGGTTCGGTTGCCACCTTTCCTGGCAAAGCCTTCTCACAAGTACACGCTCTATGTCAATGAAGCCTGCGTTATAACTTTCTCGTGCTCAGGCCGAATTGTGCCATAGAAAAAAGGAAGAGCTACAACATCTGTAATCAGATTCAGTATCGAATCTGTCTCAGAATAATTTCGATGTAATGCTGCCTGATAGAATTTCCAGACACTTGTTTCTTGGGTAGCCCACAGTGTTCTATATGATAGATGAATACAACACACCGAAAGTCCATTGCTCTTTGTTTCTTGCAATGAAGCAGAATCCATCATACTCTGTAGTTAATGTGGTCCATGAACTTCATTTGGGGGAAGACTATGGATTTATATCGAAAAGGGCAGTCGTTCGTTCGAAACGCTAGTGTTTGCAAAGCAGCTCCTGCTAAATAACTTTCTATATATAGGCTACCTAACCTAAAACTGCATGATAGTAAGGGTTACTGCAAGGTGGAAGTGTTCAGGAGTACCGAATAGCCCTTACTGCAGGCGCATTAGCAATTTTCTGGTTCTTCACTGCAGAATGGTCAGCACTCAACCAGATTTAGTAGATAACGAAAGGTTAATTAAAAGAAAAGATTGCCCTTGAAGGGTTCATCAATGTTATGTCCTTTTAGCTCCAAGAAGCTGGGATGATGAAACCCTACCGAACTGCCTTCAGAAGCCAATATATCTGGCCTTTCTACCTGCACATCACCTAACCATCTTTTGAGCAGCGCAAACCGAATGAATGCACTTTATTAACAATTGCCCTCCACACCCTCCATTACAAGGCAATGCAAGAGGTGCTTGAATTGCAGGGTAGTAGCTAGCTTGTTAGCAGGTAGGAAGTGGAGATATAGAAGGTGAGGTGAGATCCATGATCGAAAAAGTAAGGGCAAATTAATCCAAATGAAGCTTGCTTCTATGATACTTGCAGTACTCTCATCTTATTCAGCATTATTATTGCTGCCCAATCTTCCCATTTCCACCGCTAGCGTCGTCCCTGCTTTCGCTAGACCTTCTTCGCCTTTCCGTCCTCTGTGTGTCTCCCAGCTAGCCCTGGCCAACTATGCCTGCGCCAGCGTCATCCCCACCCTCCCCTTCACCGACCCTCCAATGCCAACTGCCACCTCCATTCCCCAGCCCTCCGAGATTCTCTTCCACCTGGCAGCCACGGAGGATGGTGGCCGCCGTAACAGGGATCCTACAACAGGCCGGGAAGGGGAAGCCCTAGGAGGGAGAGGGAGTAACGATGATGATGATGATCGACAGAAACGACGACATCATCGCTCATCTTCTTCTTCTTCTTCTTCTTCTTCTACTTCGCGGGATGAACGTGGGTCTGGAGGGCGGAGAGATGGGCACAGGCACCGCCGTGGGAGGCATAGTAATAATGGGCATGGAAGGCGGCGAGGGGATGATGATGATAACGATGACGATGAAGAGGGTGGTGGTGGGATGGAGAGAGATCAGAGGCCGGCTTCACCGGCGGAGAACAACTGCTGCAAGTGGGTTGGGGATGTGGACGATGAGTGCGTGTGCGAGCTGCTGTTCCGGCTGCCCACTTTCTTGGCTCGACCCATCCATGAGTACACCATCATTGTGAGCGAGTGGTGCAAAATCACTTATTCTTGCGGCGGAAGGCCTAGACCATGATTAATACATTGAATGAGTTATTGATCCCCTCCCATCCCATAACATCTGCACAAGTACGGATATTTAGTCCACGGGCACATAGAACACCGTGACTTCCAGTCGGCTGATAATCCGATTCAAGTTACATCAACATCTGGATTGAACCTTCTTCCCAAAGATGTTATTGTTTCCTGATTTTGGTGCTTAATTTGCCGCGAATAATGTTGAGATCTATAGAAAAGCTACAACGTAGCTAGGGTTTAGGAGAAGATGAAGATAAGAAGAAGGTAGATTTTTTTTTTTTTGACGAAAAAGGTGGTGGAATGAAAACCCGTAATGCGGAAAGGTTATTTTGTTTTCTTTTAAGGCTAATACCACTACAAAATTCGAACTTCCAAAAAATGTCATTTATGTTATAAAGCAATCATTATGATAATTTTTGCACGAGTTTTTTTTTCCGTTAGTGTTGATCACTGTTGACCGTTAGCATTTAACAAAAAATCTAGTAAGCAGTGATGTGGCATCGAATATGAAAATTTTAATTCCAAAATTTAATTATTATTTCAAATAACTAGAAAATAATATTTTTATATATAAATAAATAAAAACTAATTTTTAAAACAACAATACCCTTTTCCCCTTCTCAGAGACGTTTCCTTTACCACTCATCCCCACTCTCTCCCCTATAGCAATTAACCACAATGTCGCATCGCAGTGGTGGTCGGCGTCTAGATCAATTCTGTGATCAGCAGCCGCCATCCCCTATAGGCGGTGGTGGCTATGGTCGCGACGACGGTCTAGGAAGAGGAGGCTGAAGAGATGATGGCATCATTCATCAATGAATACGTGTTCATTTGTGTGGAATTTTATTTTGTTCTAAGATACGTGAATACTTTTTCGAAGTTTTTGGATACTGGTTCGGTCTGTTTGGATACTTGTTTGAGAGACTTCTCTCTCCCCCACTCCATCAACTCTTATTCGGCTTTTTTATGACTAGGCGATTTTGTCATATTAGATACCCATTTTGTCATATTAGGTATAATATGACAAAAGGTGTTATCACAAAGGTTTGTCATTTTATCGCCGTCAGGATAGATCAAATGTGACAAAAATTTAAAACAAGGTTGTCACATTTGCTTTCACTATAGCTGAGGTTCTGGGTAGTCTATTGTGACAAACACAGATGTTATGACGATATATATTGTCATTGCGGTTGTCATAATCTGGTGATTTTTGGGAGAAATAGTTTCCGACGTACCCAGACCATGGCCTAGATCTTTGCCAAAGAAAATATATTTCAAGTTTTGGATTCTGCTAAGGAACACCACACTCATTCAATTAATTTCGTTCAAGCGACAACCACTAAATAGAAAAACTCATATCTGCAAGGGGTACAAACGACAAAGAAGAGTACAAACGGCGAGAGCTCGATGCGATGGCATTCAGATGCTGAATAATTGAAGAAAGTCCCCAAAAAACTCCAAAAAAAAACACAGAACCCCAAAAGTATTCTCGATTTGCTCGCCATAGCAGAGGATGAAGGGAAAATCTTGTGTAGAGAGCTCAATTCCAGATCTAGAAGTAGCGTAGGAATGGTAGAGGAAGAAGACGCCTTCGGACGGACAGGGACGACGACACTACCACGCAGCAAATCGCCATCATCGCCGCTAGATCGTGCCCGCTACAGCTCCTCCCCTCGACTCCGGCGTTGAACCAGATCCGGCCACCGCCTCTATTCTCTTTCCATCCTAGCGATCAACACCCTAAAATGAAAAAAAAACATAATGAACATCAATAAAAACAAAATCGAACAAATAAACCTTATCTGCATGAGACAATCTTACCGGGACAATGACCTATGTAGTCGGATTTGAGCTTCCTGCTGGCGACGGAGAAGAAAGGTAAAAGAGGCCGAGAGAGATCGCAAGACGAGAAAATGATGTGGCCAACCTCGTCATCATCGCCGTCGTTCGCACGTTGTCTCTATCGGCCTGGTCGGAAGAAGAAAAGAGGAGGAAGAGCAAGAGTGAGCTAGGGTTTTATTTTTTTTGCAGTTGAAGGGGGATTTAATTGTTGGCAGAAGGAGAAGAAGGAAGAGAGAGAGAAACGTGGAGGCAAGGAGTGGGGAAGGTGAGCGTGATTAATATGGGGAGGGATTTTTGGAGAGGGATTGAGCGGGTGGTGAGAGGTAATTTGGGCGCCCACTCAAAAATTGGAAGTTTTCAATTTGGAGCCAAAAACGAAATCACTATATTATGACGAAAATGTCTTTTGTCAAAGCCGAAACCACTATATTATGACGTACATGTCATTTTGTCAGCTCGTCGTAGGATTATTGCTATCTACTGTGACAAAATACTTTGTCATTTAAATAATTCAAGAAGGGATAATATGACAAAAGCTACTCTGACAATATAATTTGTCATTTTTGTGTCTCTTACATCCCGGTATGGGATACCTATTGTGATAAATTTAATTGTGACAAAATATTTGTCACATTACTCACTTTAAATGACGACTTATTCTGACAACAATTATTTTGTCACATTAGGCATACCAAATAGGACATATATTATTTTTTGACATATTACCTTACCTATTGTGACAAACCAAAAATGACAAAATAATTTTTTTGTCCTAATTGGCCGAGTTTGTTGTAGTGAGTGGGACCCACCCTCTGAAAAGTCATAGGTTCCTCTACTTTTTTCCAAGGACCAGGAAACCGTACCGGATCGGTCGGTCGGGCCAGAAAAACTGGAAACCGGACCAGGCCCGACACAATAGGGGCTGTGTACCCTTCAATTTCCTGCCGGGCGGTATTTTCGGTTGGACCGCAACGAGCCAAAATTTCGGCCAGTTTTAATAAAACCGGTAGACCCTTAATTAAATGAAAAGGCGCCGTTTTGACATAAGATTATTAAAAAAAAAACGGAAGCAAAGCAGAGATGAAAAGTCAAGAACCCACCTCTGCTGGCCTTGCTAGCGCTCTTGTCTCTGCTTCTCATCTCCCCGTGCCGCTCTACCTCTCCAAGAATCTCGCCGCTGCCTCTACTCTCGTCATCCCTAGCAGCAACCAAACACCACCGGCGAGGCGGCGACGCGTCCTCCCCAGCAGCCAAATTCCACCACGATGCGTCCTCCCCAGCAGTCAATCCCACCGGCGACGCGTCCTCCCCAGCAAACGCGTCCTCCCCGCGCCGGAGAAAGAGGAGTTTCCTTCGTCGTTAGAGGTAGTGTGCCTTTTCTCCTTCTCCCTTTTTCGCTGCTTCTATTCTACTTTGTACAAAATCAAACGAAAACATTGAAATAGGTTGATTTACTTGATTCATGGGTTAGTAATTTCTTCAATTTTTCCCCACTTCAATTTTCCAGTTGCTGCCGCGGGAACAACCGGAATTAATTTCTTCGACAGCGAAATCATCGCCTCCGTTGGCGCTGCAAGCAATTGGTTCTGTATTCCAAAGGTAATTTTTCACAGAATCGATGGATCTTCTTCTTTATATCTTTGGATTTGGATTGTTCTTTCTGCTGTTTTAATTGCCGCCTTTCTCAAATTTCTTGCCCATCCGAATGAAATTTTTTGTGATTAGGCTGATAAGTTGAAATCTTTTTGTTGTGGGGTTGTTGATAATCACAGTGGGAATGAGTAAGTATGGTTTAAACCTGCGGTATAATCCGGTTTTACTCCGGTATTTTTCCGGTATGGTACCCTAATTTTTCCGGTACGGTTTTTTAATAAAAAAATAAATTTTTTATTCCAAAAACGGTATTTACCGGTAGGAAACGGTTGAATCATGGTTGTACCACGATTTACCATGCCAAAGACGATTCCGGTTTGATGTCCGGTACGGTTTCGTAATCCATGCTTTTTTCTCACCTAAATCCTTCCCAAAACCAACCATTCTCAACCCTCCAAATAATCCACATTCAAACCAACTAGTATTCAAAGTTTAATAAATGATATCCAACATAAAAATAATATGTTCAAACACCTACGAACACGTGTTTATTTGTGTGAAAATTTTGTTGTTCTCGGAGACATGAATACTTGTTTGAAGTTTTTGGATATTGGTTCAGTCTGTTTGAGTACTTGTTTGAAAGACTTCTCTCTCCTCCACTCCATCAGCTCTTTTCTCTTTCTTCATTTAGTGGACCCACCCTCTCAAAAGTAATTGGTTCCCCAAAACCAACCAATCTCAACCCTTGAAATAAGGTGGCCTCACTTATTTGTCGTCAGCGTGCGGCATCGCCTTAGATCTGTTGTTGTTCGTCGGTGGACCCTGTCATCGTTGGTCGATTGTCGTCCACGGCTCTAGTTCTGGTCTATCCTTCTAGTTTCGCGTCCCTCTCAATCCACACTTGGCGGCAGGTCTCGCTTCCCCTCTATTGCCTCGATTTCTCCATAGGCCAGCTTCTCACCCGGCGTAGCTCCCCTAGAGAAGGAAAGTTTATAACCCTTTATTGGTATTGCAAGCTTAGAGTTAGGGTTTTTGCGTTGTTTTGTAGGAGAAGGTAAGTTTAATAAATAAAATAATTATCCTACTAGAACACATTTTAATAATCACATTAATTATCTCAGTAATTAAATGTGACCTATTCCCCACGAAAGAGGGAACATTCTAATGTTTTGTTCCAATAAATAGACCACTCCCCAGATAAGATAAGGTTGTATAAATTACCCTACTTACACCCGTCTCTCTTCCATTCCTTTCTATAGTTCGACCTATCTATATCCTTCGTGTGAGACTCCTCAAATCCTACCGCCTATTGTTCGTTGGTCGTCCCTTCTCCAGCCAAGCCTTCAGTCCATCAGCGGTCAGTCCTTGGTCGTCGGCATACAGCCTCGCTTTAGCTTTGCTCTCATTCGTCGCTCGTCTATGAAGCTTGTCGTCGTTGGTCGACTGTTGTCCACGACTCTAGTTTCGGAATGTCCTTCTAGTTCCGCGCTGCTCTCAGTCCACACTCGCCGTCAGATCTCACTTAACCTCTACAGTCTCGACCTCTCCTTCGGTCGTCTTCTCGCCCGGCGTAGTTCCCCTCCGCTACGTACTGATTTGTAGGAGAAGGGAAGTTTGTAGGCCCTTTTGTTGTATTGGTATTGCATTCTTAGGATTTTTGTGCTGGTTTGTTGGCAAAGGTAAGTTCTGTTGGGGTAAAAAGGTTTGAAAGCTATAATAAAGGATAATTAATAAATAGAATAATTATTCTACTAGAACACATTTTAATTACGAGAGTAATTATCTCACTAATTAAATGTGACCTATTCCCCACGAAATAGAGAATATTCTAGGGTGTTTCTCCAATAAATCTCCCAGATAAGATAAGGTTGTAAAAATTACCTT